TCTTGCCAGGGTTCGGAAGTCGATGGAATGGTCTGCGACTGTACGTCTGCCTTGTCGAATACTGAACAGTTCACGAGACGCCTCTGCGGTTGGTGAATCCAGGTCAAACACCTTCAGCATCTCCTCAGCAAACAGGTCGAAGGTTGCACATGCGGGGGTTTGACGTTCGAACTCTGCTGTTCCCCAGAGTCGAGCTCGGCCCGTCAGGTGAGTGATGGCATACCCGACTTTAGCCCCCTCCGTGGCGAAGGTCCTTGGCTGCAAGGAGAACTGAAGTCGGCAGCTAGTCAGGAATGGCCGGACCTGGGTAGAATCGCCGTTGAACCGCTCGGGGTTTCCAATCTTGGGTTCCGGAGCAGCGGCTGCAATGACCGGGGCAGGTAACTCGGAGGCAGGGCTGGTGGGCAGACTGCCTGGAAACGGGCCGGTGGGCGGAGTGGCTGGGGTAAGGTTGGTGAGGAGTTGGATGATCATGGCGAGTTGTTGTTGCTGCTGCTGGAACTGCTGCTGGTGCTGCTGGAACTGCTGATGCTGTTGGTGGCCGACCTGAAGCAGAGAGGTGATGTCGCCGCTCATGCGGCCTAGCTCTCTCTCAGTGTGTTCCAGGCGTAGCATGGCGGTGGGTTGCTCAGGTTCGTCGGTTTCCATGTCGGGGGAAGTGTGCGCTGAGTCCATGATGGTCAGATCGTACTGTCACGGTTCAGACAGACGACAAGAGGACCACAATTGCGTCACACCAGAAAGTTTATTAAAACTTAAGGGAAAAGGGAAGTAGGGAGTGAGTGAAGGCTCCAGGGGTTACTGGGAATAACAGGGATTCCGTCCAATGTGCTGGGTCTGTGCCCCCCCCCAGTGGCAGCGATGCGTCCGATGACGCCGGTGGTTGGTGGTCCAGAAGTCCTGGGGGGGAGGAAACACAGACACAACGGGGCGGATGAAACAAGGCAGAAGTACAGTTCAAGGGAAATCCAAATACATTGTAGCAAGGCAGAAGGCTGGTCAGAGTTACCGGGATCGAAGAGTAGTCAGGAGTCGTAATGGCAGAAAGCAGGTCTGGTTTTTCCTGGGGCAGAAGAGTATCCAAGAATCAGGCAGGTCCGGGGTCACAAAACAAGGGTGAGCCAGAAGCGCGAGCAAACAGGTTCCGGGTGTGAGCTTTGCAGACGATCTGACAAAGGAGAGCTGAAAGACAGGGCTTTAAATACTGGGAGAGGTTAGTGGGTAATGCAGCGCAGCTGGCAGAGTAATTAGAGCCGAGCAGAGCAGGGACAGGTGGAGCTAGTTAGGCTGAGTAGAGAGAGAGTGGTGAGCAGAGTGGAAGATAGTGGAAACAAATTAAGGTGGTAACCCGGTGGAGTGAGAGGGCTCATGACACTTATGGCCTTATACAGCTCATTGAGTGCAGTCTTAGTGCCAGCTTCGGTTTGTGGTGGTAAATAGACAGCTACGAAAAATATAGACGAAAACTCTCTTGGTAAATAGTGTGGTCTACAGCTTATCATGAGATACTCTACCTCAGGCGAGCAAAACCTTGAGACTTCATTAATATTAGATTTTGTGCACCAGCTGTTGTTTACAAATATACACAGACCGCCATCCCTTGTCTTACCGGAGTCAGCCATTCTATCCTGCCGATGTAGCGTATATCCCGCCAGCTGTATGTTATCCATGTCATCGTTCAGCCACGACTCGGTGAAACATAAGATATTACAGTTTTTAATGTCCCGCTGGTAGGATATCCGTGATCGTAGGTCGTCTATTTTGTTTTCCAATGATTGAACATTGGCTAATAGGACTGATGGTAGGGGCAGACTACTCGCTCGCCGTCAGATCCTTACAAGGCACCCCGACCTACGTCCACAATATCTCTGTTTCTTTCTCATGCGAATGATGGGGATTTGGGCCTTGTCGGGTGTCTGTAGAAAATCTTTGTCTACTACGAGGTGTGTAATCACTGTCCTGATATTCAGAAGCTCTTTTTGGTCATAAGAGACGTGGCAGAAACATTATGTACAGAATAAATTACAAATAACGCGAAAAAACACACATAATAGAACAATTGTTTAGGGGGCCGTAAAACGGCAGCAATCTCCTCCGGCGCCATGAATCATCCAGATATGGTTTAAGAAGAAACATTTCTGGAGTGGCCAGCGATGAGTCCAGATCTGAATCCCATCGATAACCTATGGTGAGATCTGAAAATAGTAGGTGGAAGGCACACCTCAAACTTTAAAGAATTGGAGCAGTTTGTAGTTGAAGAGTGGGCCAAATTGCCAGTAGAAAGGTGCAGCAAGCTCATTGATGGCTACAAGAAGTGTTTGTCTGCAGTTATCTTGGCCAAAGGCTGTGCAACCAAGTACTAGCTCCGGGTGCCAATAATTTTGTCAATGCCATTTGTTTTTATTTTCTAAATTAAAATTGTCAACATAAAGGTGCTACACATAGGATTACATTTTTTTTTATTTGTCCATAATATATCATTGTACCATCTAAATCGATGTGAAATATATTTTCAATAACAAAAAATAGCGTTTTTACAGCTGTTTGAAGCTGGTGGACCAAAACCTCTTTTGAAGCTGATGGACCGAAACCGGTTTTGGTCCACCAGCTTCAAACAGCTGTAAAAACTATATTTTCTGTTATTGAAAATATATATTCACAGCGATTTAGATGGTACAATGACTCCCTACACTATTGTTTTCTCACATAAACTGAAATTGAGCAAACGGTGTAGAATTTTAGCAGCCACGAAATGACAGAGCGATTTCCACTAGATAACACAGCCACAAAGTAGGAACAGCTTTCCCAGTTTGTCAACAGATGCAACTAGGGCGGGAAAAATCGATAGGCAAATATCACAGCCAATCACAACACTGGCAGGTAAATAATACTGTGAAAATGTCACGTCTCCTCCCGTTGCTCCCCTCCGGCGCTCTGATTCGCTGGTCTACTGAGCCACCGGTCTGAGCGCACCACCTCGGCAAACACAGTAATGGAAACCCAACGCACCCTAATCACCTCCAGCGCACCTGCACCTCATCATCTCATCACCACCACTATATACAGTTAGGGTCGGAAGTTTACATACACTTATGTTGGAGTCATTAAAACTCGCTTTTCAACCACTCCACAAATTTCTTGTTAACAAACTATAGTTTTGGCAAGTCGGTTAGGACATCTACTTTGTGCATGACACAAGTAATTTTTCCAACAATTGTTTACAGACAGATTATTTCACTTATAATTCACTGTATCACAATTCCAGTGGGTCAGAAGTTTACATACACTAAGTTGACTGTGCCTTTAAACAGCTTGGAAAATTCCAGAAAAGGATGTCATGGCTTTAGAAGCTTCTGATAGGCTAATTGACATCATTTGCATCAAGTGGAGGTGTACCTGTTGATGTATTTCAAGGCCTACCTTCAAACTCAGTGCCTCTTTGCTTGACATCATGGGAAAATGAAAAGAAATCAGCCAAGACCTCAGAAAAAAAATGTAGACCTCCACAAGTCTGGTTCATCCTTGGGAGCAATTTCCAAACGCCTGAAGGTACCATGTTCATCTGTAAAAACGATAGTACGCAAGTATAAACACCATGGGACCACGCAGCTGTCATACCGCTCAGGAAGGAGACGCGTTCTTTCTCCTAGAGATGAACGTACTTTGGTGCGAAAAGTGCAAATCAATCCCAGAACAACAGCAAAGGACCTTGTGAAGATGCTGGAGGAAACACGTACAAAAGTATCTATATCCACAGTAAAACGAGTCCTATATCGACATAACCTGAAAGGCCGCTCAGCAAGGAAGAAGCCACTGTTCCAAAACTGCCATAAAAAAGCCAGACTACAGTTTGCAACTGCACATGGGGACAAAGATCGTACTTTTTGGAGAAATGTCCTCTGGACTGATGATACAGAAATAGAACTGTTTGGCCAAAATGACCATCGTTATGTTTGGAGGAAAAAGGGGGATGCTTGCAATCCGAAGAACACCATCCCAACCGTGAAGCACGGGGGTGGCAGCATCATGCTGTTGGGGTGCTTTGCTACAAGCGGGACTGGTGCACTTCACAAAATAGATAGAAAATGTGTGGGCAGAACTGAAAAGGCGTGTGCGAGCAAGGAGGCCTCCAAACCTGACTCAGTTACACCAGCTCTGTCAGGAGGAATGGGCCAAAATTCAGCCAACTTATTGTGGGAAGCTTGTGGAAGGCTACCTGACACGTTTGACCCAAGTTAAACAATTTAAAGGCAATGCTACCAAATACTAATTGAGTGTATGTAAACTTCTGACCCACTGGGAATGTGATGAAATAAATAAAAGCTGAAATAAATAATTATCTCTACTATTATTCTGACATTTCACATTCTTAAAATAAAGTGGTGATCCTAACTGACCTAAGACAGGGAATTTCACTAGGATTAAATGTCAGGAATTTTGAAAAACTGAGTTTAAATGTATTTGGCTATGGTGTATGTAAACTTCCGACTTCAACTGTAGCCCTGGACTGTTAGTTCATTGTTGTGTGTAATTGTTAGCGTCATGTCGTTTACTCTCTCTTTGTTATTCTCTTTCTCATTATTAAGTAAACCTTTACCTTATTAATTCCTGCGTCTGCGTCCTGCCTTTTCGTATACTCAGTACTCGTCACAGAAACACTATCATTCCACTATTAGCGCCAGATATATTATCAACATTTTCTGAAATTACGATGCAAAAATTATTTTAAAAATCCTATGTGTAGCACCTTTAAGTTTCCCGAAAATAAATTGGTTTTGCAATGTTGAAAATATAATAAGGTGTGGAGACCAAAAGTTTTTTTTTTTCAAATTTCTCCATATTTTAAAAGAAATAGGGATTTTTTAAAGAAAGGTGCAAGGATCCCAATATATTTGGATGCTACTGTACAATTACCTCTGCACCAGCTAAATACATTTTGCCTATATGATTTTAGTTTAATCAGAAACAGTATTACCCAGAAATCTACATTGAGCACATACCCCATTCTCCTCCACCATACACCTTTCCCACTCACCTTGTCCATCCACCATCATGCGCAGGGTGCCCAGCAGTTTGAACTGCACTGGGGGCATGTCAGAGCGCAGCAAGGTCCTGATTCTCTCTGTCACCCCGTCCTCCAGCATCCTCACCTTATTTGTGGCTGAAACACCAGGGAGAAGAGGGGTCAGAGAGGTCAGAGCTGAGAGTCCTGAGAACAGCTTATAAGAGAATCCCATTAGTGATTCATTTCACAGTGTCAGTTTGTAATTCAGTGGTGGGGTCAGTGGGGTCGGTGGGGTTAGTGTGTGTGTGTGTGTGTGTGTGTGTGTGTGTGTGTGTGGTTATCCATTCTACTATGTACCAGGGATGGCCAGGTTTCTGAGAGCGCTCAGTCCGGCATGCTGGACGGACACGTCGCCTTCGTCCACATGCTGCTCCAGCAGGGTCAGGATATGAGGAACCACCCCCAGCTCCAACATCTTCACACAGTTACTGTCTGAGAAGGTTGAGAGAGAGAGAGGGTAGAGAGGAGACAGTAATTGATGAGAAGAGACAGAGAAAAGATACAGAGAGAGAAAGAGGTGATAAGGTAATCAAATATGAAGATAGACAGGGGCTTAGAACATCAGAGACTTGGGAGAATTCTCATGTCAAAATCAAAGCAGGCAATGCAGATACAGTGGGGAAAAAAAGTATTTAGTCAGCCACCAATTGTGCATGTTCTCCCACTTAAAAAGATGAGAGAGGCCTGTAATTTTCATCATAGGTACACGTCAACTATGACAGACAAATTGAGAAAAAAAATCCAGAAAATCACATTGTAGGATTTTTAATGAATTTATTTGCAAATTATGGTGGAAAATAAGTATTTGGTCACCTACAAACAAGCAAGATTTCTGGCTCTCACAGACCTGTAACTTCTTCTTTAAGAGGCTCCTCTGTCCTCCACTCGTTACCTGTATTAATGGCACCTGTTTGAACTTGTTATCAGTACAAAAGACACCTGTCCACAACCTCAAACAGTCACACTCCAAACTCCACTATGGCCAAGACCAAACAGCTGTCAAAGGACACCAGAAACAAAATTGTAGACCTGCACCAGGCTGGGAAGACTGAATCTGCAATAGGTAAGCAGCTTGGTTTGAAGAAATCAACTGTGGGAGCAATTATTAGGAAATGGAAGACATACAAGACCACTGATAATCTCCCTCGATCTGGGGCTCCCACAGTTCACAAGAACGGTGAGTAAAAATCCCAGAACCACACGGGGGGACCTAATGAATGACCTGCAGAGAGCTGGGACCAAAGTAACAAAGCCTACCATCAGTAACACACTACGCCGCCAGGGACTCAAATCCTGCAGTGCAAGACGTGTCCCCCTGCTTAAGCCAGTACATGTCCAGGCCCGTCTGAAGTTTGCTAGAGTGCATTTGGATGATCCAGAAGAGGATTGGGAGAATGTCATATGGTCAGATGAAACCAAAATAGAACGTTTTGGTAAAAACTCAACTCGTCGTGTTTGGAGGACAAAGAATGCTGAGTTGCATCCAAAGAACACCATACCTACTTTGAAGCATGGGGGTGGAAACATCATGCTTTGGGGCTGCTTTTCTGCAAAGGGACGAGGACGACTGATCCGTGTAAAGGAAAGAATGAATGGGGCCATGTATCGTGAGATTTTGAGTGAAAACCTCCTTCCATCAGCAAGGGCATTGAAGATGAAACGTGGCTGGGTCTTTCAGCATGACAATGATCCCAAACACACCGCCCGGGCAACGAAGGAGTGGCTTCGTAAGAAGCATTTCAAGGTCCTGGAGTGGCCTAGCCAGTCTCCAGATCTCAACCCCATAGAATATCTTTAGAGGGAGTTGAAAGTCCGTGTTGCCCAGTGACAGCCCCAAAACATCACTGCTCTAGAGGAGATCTGCATGGAGGAATGGGCCAAAATACCAGCAACAGTGTGTGAAAACCTTGTGAAGACTTACAGAAAACGTTTGACCTGTGTCATTGCCAACAAAGGGTATATAACAAAGTATTGAGAATCTTTTGTTATTGACCAAATACTTATTTTCCACCATAATTTGCAAATAAATTCATTAAAAATCCTACAATGTGATTTTCTGGAGAATTTTTTTTTCATTTTGTCTGTCATAGTTGATGTGTACCTATGATGAAAATTACAGCCCTCTCTCATCTTTTAAAGTGGGAGAACCTGCACAATTGGTGGCTGACTAAATACTTTTTTTCCCCACTGTAAGTCAACCTGAAGGCATTTTGCCATCTTACCGTTCCTGGCAAAATTGGCGATGGCCAGGGCTCCAGACAGCTGCAGCTGAGTGTTAGAGGACTGCAGCCAGGAGAGCACGTCCTGGTACACCACCCCCGTGCCCTCGCCGAAACACTTCTGCATGGACTCATCTAATGCACCAAAACACAGCACACAGGGACAGGCAGCACATCTGACTAGTCAACAACCAATCATAATGTTTTTGTGATCAATATTTCATTTATCAAAGAAATAGAAACAGAGAGGACATACACTACCAGTCAAAAGTTTGGACACACCTACTCATTCAAGGGTTTTTCTTTATTTTTGCTATTTTTTACATTGTAGAATAATAGTGAAGACATCAAAACAATACATATGGAATCATGTAGTAAACCATAAAGTGTTGGGTCATTGTCCTGTTGAAAAACAAATGACAGTCCCACTAAGCCCAAACCAGATGGGATGGCGTATCGCTGTAGAATGCTGTGGTGGCCATCCTGGTTAAGTGTGCCTTGAATTCTAAATAAATCACAGACAGTGTCACCAGCAAAGCACCCCCACACCATAACACCTCCTCCTCCATGCTTTAAGGTGGGAAATACACATGCAGAGATCATCCGTTCACCCACACTGCGTCTCACAAAGACAGTGGTTGGAATCAAAAATCTCAAATTTGGACTCCAGACCAAAGGACGAATTTCCAGCGGTCTAATGTCCATTGCTCGTGTTTCTTGACCCAAGCAGGTCACTTCTTCTTCTTGGTGTCCTTTAGTATTGGTTTCTTTGCAGCAATTCGACCATGAAGGCCTGATTCACACAGTCCTCTATGAACAGTTGATGTTGAGATGTGTCTGTTACTTGAACTCTGTGAAGCATTTATTTGGGCTGCAATTTCTGAGGCTGGTAACTCTAATGAATTTATCCTCTGCAGCAGAGGTAACTTTGGGTCTTCCATTCCTGTGGTGGTCCTCATGAGAGCCAGTTTCATCATAGCGCTTGATGGTTTTTGCAACTGCACTTGAAGAAACTTTCAAAGTTCTTAAAATGTTCCATATTGACTGACCTTCATGTCTTAAAGTAATGATGGACTGTCGTTTCTCTTTGCTTATTTGAGCTGTTCTTGCCATAATATGGACTTGGTCTTTTACCAAATAGGGCTATATTCTGTATACCCCTCCTACCTTGTCACAACACAACTGATTGGCTCAAACGCATTAAGAAGGAAAGAAATTCCACAAATTAACTTTTAAGTAGGCACACCTGTAAATTGAAATGCATTCCAGGTGACTACCTCATGAAGCTGGTTGAGAGAATGCCAAGAGCGTGCAAAGCTGTAATCAAGGCAAGGGGTGGCTATTTGAAGAATCTCAAATATAAAATATATTTTGATTTGTTGAACACTTTTTTCGTAACTACATTATTCCATATGTGTTGTTTCGTAGTTTTGATGTCTTCACTATTATCCTACAATGTAAAAAACATTTAAAATAAAGAAAAACCCTTGAATGAGTAGGTGTGTCCAAACTTTTGACTGGTAGTGTATATATAATGTGATTCACAGTCAGAGTATCTTTGCTCGATTACATTCGGAATCAAACATCAATCAAATTGAGTGATGTGACCTGATGGGCTCCCGAGTCGCGCAGCGGTCTAAGGCACTGCATCTCAGTGCTTGAGGCGTCACTACAGACCCCCTGGTTCGATTCCAGGCTGTGTCACAACCGGCTGTGATTGGGAGTCTCATAGGGTGGCGCACAATTGGCCCAGCGTCGTTTGGACGGTGTAGGCCGTCATTGTAAATAAGAATTTGTTCTTAACTGACTTGCCTAGTTAAATAAAGGTTTTTTAAAAAATAGACAGTGAAATGGTGTGTGAGTGAGGCATGGACGCAGGGGGTTTAAGGGGAGGACAGTAAAGGGATTATGGTGCCTCCAGGTCAGGTTGAGTTCCTTACCTCCCAGCAGGAGAGACACGATGAGGTTGGAGGCAATCTTGATGCTGCAGAGATCATGGGGGTCAGAGCCACCTTGTAGCCCTCGAATCATCTCAGACAGAGCCTCAGGCACCCCCGACTCCACAAACTGCAGCTTTAGCACATCTGACAACAGCAGGAGGGGTGTGTTAGTCTGAGCACACATTCATTCAACCCTTCATGTGAAAAGCATAAACCCCATTCAGTTTATTTCATCTCACCTGTCTCAGTATAAATTATCATCATTGCCCAGACTCACCACTCTCTCCCAGTGATCCCAGCACCTCCAGTATGATGTGTCTTCTCTCGGCGTCAGGAGCCCGTTTCAGCTGGGCCGTCAGCACCTCCGCCACACCCACCTCTATCAGCGCCTCTCGCGCCGTGTCTGCATGGGTCAAAGGCCAAACATTTTTATCTACACCTTTATCTAACCAGGTCTTTCAGTTAGGAAACAATTATCATTCACAAATAAGATGTGAGAAACACAATAACAACTGGTTCAAGTCAGTATACAGTGTGCAGTCTCCAAGTAAACAAATGAGACAAGCACGCCATTTTGGTTCAGAAATGTAACTGAAAACAAACAGGCTTTCCTCGTCTCTGTGACCCTCTAAAGTTCCTCTGGTGTTCCTCACCCATGTCGGCCAGATTACAGAGAGCCAGCAGACACACGTTGACCAGTGGGTCGTTCTCTGGGTACTCCCTCATGATGGCCACCAGCCTGGGGATCACCCCACTCTGCACCAGCTGATCCTGCTGGGCCGCTGAGAGAGGGAAGAGGAGAGAGAATAGAGGAAGGGAAAGAAGGAGGGAAAGTGTAATGGATTGAGACTGAGATAAATAGACGGAGGTGGAGGCACACACACCCACGAAATCCACCAGGACAAGCATTGCGTTACAGATTACAGATTAATTTAATAGGGTAAGATTCATCCTGTCACTGCAGGTAAAGCCTGATTCCCCCTGGGAAGGCCCCGGCCTGCTGGAGTCAGTCTCACTCACTGTTGTCGAAGCAGATGCGTCCGATGGCTCTTCCAGTGTGGAGCAAAAGCTCCTCATCTGCACTATTCAGCAGGGGCACCAGAACCGTCACCAGCCCCGCCTCAATGCACGTGTTCCTCACCGCCGCTTAAACACAGGGACAGAATTTCATAAATCTCTGATTCTACTCACAGTGAGCCTATGTCATTGTTGTGTTTGTAAATGGAGGACTGGATCTTGACAGATGTAAATGAAAAGCACTCTAGCCGCTGTCAATGAGGCTGGTCTCAGACTAGACGTAACGTAAATCAAAATCCGTGACACTCAGATGAGTCTGAAATGTTACGTTTGGTATGGTTACATAAAACAGAAGGTTACTTAAGGCAAAAACTAAAGTAGGGTTGGGTGTATAACACAAACATCTAGCAACCCAAAGGTTGGTAGTCCCGTGTAGCTCAGTTGGTAGAGCATGGCGTTTGCAACGCCAGGGTTGTGGGTTCGATTCCCACGGGGGGCCAGTATGAAAATGTATGCACTCTAACTGTAAGTCGCTCTGGATAAGAGTGTCTGCTAAATGACTAAAATGTAAATGTAAAATGTTGCGTGTTCTAATCTCATCACGGACAACTTTAGCATTTTAGCTAATTAGCAAGTTTGCAACTACTTAATACTTTTTAGCTACTTAGCATGTTAGCTAAGCCTAACCTTAACCAGTTGACCTAACTCCTAATCCTAACCTTAACCCCTAACCCTAATCCCTAGTCTAGCTAACATTAGCAACCTAGCTAACGTTAGTGTTAGCCACCTAGCTAATGTTAGCCACAACAAATTGGAATTTGTAACATATCATACGTATTTCAAATTAGTAACATATTGTACGAATTGCAATTCTTATCATGTCATACGAATTGTAATTCGTAACATATCATACAAAATGGATGATAGACATCCACAAATTAATGCATGCCATACCAAACGTAACATACAGTATCATACTAATTCGTTTTTCTGGATTTTCGTTTACTATGTTACGTCTACCCTTGAGTCCAGGTTGCAGATTGGTATTCATGCCCCATACCCCCTGTCGCTTTGTCTACAGTAGTAGGCTGGCATCTAATCTCACCTTCCCTGGCCATCTCTGCCACCACCAGTGCCACCTGGTTGGTGAGGAGACTCTTCTTCTTGAGGGACTGGGCCAGGATGGGAACGATACCACTGGAGGCAATCTCCACTGCGGCACCCTTCTCTGAGGACATATAATACACACACTTATATGGTAACTACCCCTGGGCATGGATATAGAATAGAATGGAAAATAACTGAGGACGGAAAATGACCATTGGCTTCATAGTAACATAAATATCTTTATTGACCTATAGACAAAACCTGCTAATTGTTAACCAGAAATGAGTTCTGACACAAAACTCTTGCTAATGCAAGTGTCCCAGCAGTAGATGTAATTCCATTTCCTGTCAATCTTCTCTGTGATGAGATTGATCAGGATCACTAGGTGCAGAGGTTGTCTTTGGCCTTCCTCTCTCTACTCCTGTCTCCGATTAACAGTGACTCTAACCCCTCTGTAATGTCAGGAGGAGACCAGAGAGAGAAACTAAAATAGAATCCTCCTCTGTGTTGAACTTGGGAGGCAGATTCATTGTCATTAAAGCAGCAATGTGCAATAGACACAGAGGAAGACCTGATATTAGCATTTCCCCTTTCAAAGAATGTCACAACAGCCAAGGAGGCAGGTCAGGTTGTCAGGCTACACTGCGCTGCTATGGTAACGTCCCCTTGCCTGTTTTTGAGGGGAACCAAATTTAGCTGTCCGTGCACAGTGCAACCCCAGATAAACTGGATATTTGCCAGAGCAGAGCGAGGGAGAGCTGGAGAATAACTTGAACTGTCACTATCTCACTTCCTTCCGTTCATTCGTTCTCTCCGACCCCCCCGAACTAATCACGGACAACTTTAGCGTTTTAGCTAATTAGCAACTTTGCAGCTACTTACTACTTTTTAGCTACTTTGCAACTACTTAGCATGTTAACTAACCCTTCCTCTAATCCTAACCTTAACCCTTTAATCTAACCGTAACACTAACCTTAACCCTAACCCCTAGCTAACTTTGCCACCTAGCTAAGGTTAGTGTTAGTCACCTAGCCACCTAGCTAACGTTAGCCACAAAAAATCGGAATTTGTAACATTTCATACATTTAGCAAATTCTTAACATAGTGTACAAATTTCAATTTGTAACATATTGTACGAATTGAAATTCGTAACATATCATACGAATTGTAATTTGTAACATATCATATGAAATGGATGATGGACATCCACAAATTAATACATACCATACGAAACGTAACATACGAAACGTAACATATCATACTAAATGGAGTGTCCTGGATTTATGTTTACTATGTTAAGTCTACCCCTGAGTCCAGGTTGGATACAGAGGAGAAACAGCAGAGGTGTTCTGAACAATCCTGCAACACTCTCACATTGAAGCAGTCTTTTTATAGCTGAAGATTTGGGCCAAGACTACGCCAGGCATCCAAAATCAAAAAAGGGGGGAAGGATAGATTCCTAAACAACCTGATAAATATGTTGAGAGAATTTAAGCTTTGCCACTATAGTTTCTAAAAGCTCTGGCCTTGCTTGCCATGGCCAAAGCAATGCCATAAAAGCTGACTGATGGGAACAGGCAGGAGTGAGATTGATGAATCAGAGGTCAGTGTCTACTGGAGATATGTGTGTAGACTCACTCTTCTCCAGTAGCACAGCCAGCACGGTGTCCAGATGAGGCTTCAGCTCCTGTTCTACCAACTCGGTGCTCACACTGATGGCATTCAGCGCCTCAGTCAGAGAGTCTGCAACACACACACACATAAATGTATATACACGCACGCACACACACTCACACACACACACACACACATAAATGTATACGCACACACACACACACACACACACACACACACACACACACACACACACACACACACACACACACACACACACAGGAAGGGAGACACATCATATATTAGTCATATCTTCCTGCAGAACAACTACATTGCTCTCATATCATATACAACAAAATATTCCTGTAGAAATAATACATGCTGGTACAGTACATCCTAATGCTGTATACACACCCCGACACAAACATCCACACTGCAACCCCTCATGAACCTTCAGGATATGCCAATCTCATAGTGCCTTGCCAATGCACATACAGTGGGGGAAAAAAGTATTTAGTCAGCCACCAATTGTGCAAGTTCTCCCACTTAAAAAGATGAGAGAGGCCTGTAATTTTCATCATAGGTACACGTCAACTATGACAGACAAAATGAGAAAAAAAATCCAGAAAATCACATTGTAGGATTTTTAATGAATTTATTTGCAAATTATGGTGGAAAATAAGTATTTGGTCAATAACAAAAGTTTCTCAATACTTTGTTATATACCCTTTGTTGGCAATGACACAGGTCAAACGTTTTCTGTAAGTCTTCACAAGGTTTTCACACACTGTTGCTGGTATTTTGGCCCATTCCTCCATGCAGATCTCCTCTAGAGCAGTGATGTTTTGGGGCTGTCACTGGGCAACACAGACTTTCAACTCCCTCCAAAGATTTTCTATGGGGTTGAGATCTGGAGACTGGCTAGGCCACTCCAGGACCTTCAAATGCTTCTTACGAAGCCACTCCTTCGTTGCCCGGGCGGTGTGTTTGGGATCATTGTCATGCTGAAAGACCCAGCCACGTTTCATCTTCAATGCCCTTGCTGATGGAATGAGGTTTTCACTCAAAATCTCACGATACATGGCCCCATTCATTCTTTCCTTTACACGGATCAGTCGTCCTGGTCCCTTTGCAGAAAAACAGCCCCAAAGCATGATGTTTCCACCCCCATGCTTCACAGTAGGTATGGTGTTCTTTGGATGCAACTCAGCATTCTTTGTCCTCCAAACACGACGAGTTGAGTTTTTACCAAAAAGTTCTATTTTGCTTTCATCTGACCATATGACATTCTCCCAATCCTCTTCTGGATCATCCAAATGCACTCTAGCAAACTTCAGACGGGCCTGGACATGTACTGGCTTAAGCAAGGGGACACGTCTGGCACTGCAGGATTTGAGTCCCTGGCGGCGTAGTGTGTTACTGATGGTAGGCTTTGTTACTTTGGTCCCAGCTCTCTGCAGGTCATTCACTAGGTCCCCCCGTGTGGTTCTGGGATTTTTGCTCACCGTTCTTGTGATCATTTTGACCCCACAGGGTGAGATCTTGCGTGGAGCCCCAGATCGAGGGAGATTATCAGTGGTCTTGTATGTCTTCCATTTCCTAATAATTGCTCCCACAGTTGATTTCTTCAAACCAAGCTGCTTACCTATTGCAGATTCAGTCTTCCCAGCCTGGTGCAGGTCTACAATTTTGTTTCTGGTGTCCTTTGACAGCTCTTTGGTCTTGGCCATAGTGGAGTTTGGAGTGTGACTGTTTGAGGTTGTGGACAGGTGTCTTTTATACTGATAACAAGTTCAAACAGGTGCCATTAATACAGGTAACGAGTGGAGGACAGAGGAGCCTCTTAAAGAAGAAGTTACAGGTCTGTGAGAGCCAGAAATCTTGCTTGTTTGTAGGTGACCAAATACTTATTTTCCACCATAATTTGCAAATAAATTCATAAAAAATCCTACAATGTGATTTTCCAGAATTTCTTTTCTCAATTTGTCTGTCATAGTTGACGTGTACCTATGATGAAAATTACAGGCCTCTCTCATCTTTTTAAGTGGGAGAACTTGCACAATTGGTGGCTGACTAAATACTTTTTTCCCCCACTGTACATGTCAAATGTATAGCACTTGTTAATGTTGGTGCAATGCATCTCAGCCAAACACATTTGCACATACTGTATAGGACCAGAGTGATATGAATATATGAATACACAGGCGAAGAGGTCAAGTTGCATTATGGATTATACATCAAAGACAGTGAGGGGTGGCTGGCAATGGTATCCCCCATGCCAGAGGCTAGGAGTAGAAGGGAGAGAAGGGGGGAAGGTGTGTGTGTACATCATTTCTGTAACATGCCTCTGTCCCCTCCAGCTAGCAAATATCTGACTGATTGGTGCCTTCCAATTTCATTGAACATATCTGAAAATAAAGCCAAATGAACAAAAAAGAGCCCAGAACCCTTGACTTGAGAGCAGAGAGAAAGAGAGAGTAAAGCAGAGCTTAGTCAATGTGTGGGTGTGACAGTTAGCTGTCCTCTGTGCTGTGTCGTCAACACATACTTTCTAAGCAGAGCCACAGACAGAGAGTAATCACTTTGGCTAATCCCTGGTAAGCAGTGTGAAAATAGATCCTACAGTGAGAGGCTATCAGGGTTATATATAGGCCCAGGACGATACCAGAATCGCGATACTCGTTATTATCGTGGCAAGGAAACAAAACAGCCCTAATGTTGGAAACAATCATCCAGAGTCACATTGATATAATTTCCAAGCTAGAGCACACAATATTTTACATACAGCAGGTTTTTAAAACACCAAAGACTTTATTTTTGCCATGGAAAAAATATGACGATACTGGTATCGTTACAGCTGCAGTAAATACACAGAGTCAAGTACCATACAGATCCCCATTTCACAGTTCCCGTTTGCCATTCCGTGTGTGTGTGTGCATGTGTGCATGAGTGCATGTGTGTGTGTGTGAGAGAGAGTCTAGGGAAATGATGCGTACAGCAGAGTGTTAATCTGTCCCATGAGAGAGATATAAGGACCCTCCCCATGGTCCTTATTATCACTAACATCCCACAAACGAGGTGCTTCCTTTAGACATCTCCAGCCCTCCCGTCTATCTCTCTGTCTGTCTGTCTGTCTGTCTGTCTGTCTGTCTGTCTGTCTGTCTGTCTTCCAGGGTTGCTTCAGAGACAGCCACCTGTGCCCTGTCTCTGTCCCACAATGTTTACCTGGGCGGGTAATGTCAGCCCATATTACTGTGACCTTTAAACACAAGACCGGAAACTAAAACAGACAGGCTGATTGTCTCCTGGAATCTAGCCTGAGCTACATCCTTGTCGATTCCTACTGTACATCCCCTGGTCCAAATATTGGCAATGCCTCCACTGCTATACGCACTCATTGGCATGCACATGCTGTAACAGAGGTTTTCAAAAAGGGTTTTTCTACTCACCCACGTCGGCCATGGCTGCAAGTCGGCAGGCGCTCACTACTGTCTCCCTGGGATTTTATCCCGGCTCTCTGGCTTCCTTCCTCTGCCGATTCTGTATGTGTGTGTATGTGTGTGTTTGACTAAGTAATGAGAGAGGAGCAGCCCTGCTTCAGGCCACGCGTGCCCTGTCTTCAGTCACTGCGCTTGCGTTCGCTCTCCCTCTCCTTCTCTTTCTCTCCGTCTTTATTTCCCTCTGTCTCACACAGTAGACACTGTCTCTCTTCTCTGTACCGCTCACTCCCTGCCTCCTTTTTTAAATTCTCTCTCGTCTTTCTCCTTCTCATTCTCTCTCACACAATCTCTCCCCCACCCCACCCTCTGCCTCTCTTTCTCTCTCTCTTTCTCGCTCTCAGTCCTTTCCATGCTCTCTCTATCCCCCTCTGGCCCTCCTTCTCGCTACCTTTCTAATACGCTCTAAATCCTAAATCTCTCCAAAGCTCATCAGTCGACTATGAGCTCCTAGGAGACACTGAGACTGAAATACAAGAAGCCCTAACAATGACGCTTTACTGGTTCAGCCTCCCTGTAAACCTTTAAAGATTACTTTAAAAAGGAACATTAACAACAAATAAAAAAGAATGGTTTAATTGCTAAATAAAGGTCATAATGCAGTATAAACTACAATGGGGAGGCTACCGTGATAGGACTATCACTAGTATATGACATAATATTATTACCTCTTATTACATCATATTTCCTTCCTATCAACAAGACTTACTGGGCCAACAGAGCATGAGACATTAATTTCATAACAAGTAGCTAAATGAAGCCACACCGTCGACACATAATGTAAAGTAATACAAATACAGATAGAACCCATTACTGTAGGGGTGCCAGGAAATGCTGGGGCAGATTAAAAGGCTTTGTAAGTGAGTTGATCAATACTGGTAGATCACAAACCTCTATGTGGGGAGTGTTAACACCAAATTGATACCAAGAATAATTTCATTACCATGTCCATGGTTGTGTATAGAAGTCACCAACAGAGGACGTTAAAAAGAACTCCAGCTAAGAGCCACATGGATAGTTCAATTTCTGCTGCCCTGCTTTTGAACAGCAGGTGGCAGTTTAAGACAGCTCACTAAAACTAGAGTTTCTTCCCCCAAGGTTGGTGATTCAATTTACATCCTTGTGCTGCCAATTCATCGCCATCTGGAAATGCAGATACCTGTCAGACAATGGAACTCAATTAACTCAGCCCCTTTATCACTATTCGTGACAGTTACATTATCTACTGAAAAACTGTCATGAAAAAATGACAATGCCATTGTCCAAAGCTTTAGTGGCATGTTTGATTCCTCCACTCAGTACTAATAATGTGGACACAATATCAAGGCCTATTCTTTGTATATGAGTCATGTCCCACCCGGGACGAAGAGGACTAAGTAAGTAAGTCTGTAAATAGTTGCCCTCTTATTGACTTTCAAAATGGCTGTCTATCTGCTTCTAACCCCATGAACGAAATCCATCATGACCCGACAAGACATGTTATCACAAGACACTCATGGGATAAGCATGGAGAATGTGGGGAAACCCAGGTCTCTCTGAGCAGCTTGGCCTCAAAGACGGTTGCTGTGACACAACTTATCAGGGATTTTCCCCCAGACAAGTTAGCTTAACGTATTAGAGGGTCTGAATAGGGGCCAGAAGGTCATGTTAGCGGGGTTACTGGGCACAGAGGGACTATTTAGCTTCATAGAGTCCGACCTATGGTAAGTTATTAGAGAGATAGATCTTACTCAGTGTAAGGGTTGGTGTGAGGTGTGACCCAAGTGTGGTGCAGGATAGACAGTAGGCAGTAAGCAGAGATGGTGAAACAAGGATCTTTACTGGTGGTCCCGAAGCCAGAATACAAAATAACAGACTTATCACGATAAAAGAAAGGCGGAGCAAATAAGTCTCAAAAAACCGTCTGACAGCCAAAATACGAAATACTACCTAAGACTGAAACAAATAACAAAACAGGGAGAACACTTCTCAAGTACATGTTCATAGGTCTCTGATCAGACACTGCGTAGTACTGCTGGACATAGAGAAACTAGCAGAGAAAACTGAGCAAGGGAACACAGGGAAGTGAGGGCATAAATACACAGGTGAACAGGTAGACACAGGTGACACCAATAAGATAATGATTAGTTCAGACTGTGAGTGAGGAGGTGCCTAAGGTTGTCGGAGGATGACACCTAGTGGGTCACTCCGGAACTGCGACCCCCTCCTGTAACAACTCAGTGATATGTCCATCCCAGACCCAGATAAAGTGAATTATATGGATAAGTGCATCTTTGTATGTTAAATGCCCCATACATAGACATATTTAGTTAGACTGATGCAACAAAACCATGAGCTTTTATTCACAGCATGAGGAGTGTTTTCTTTAAGTGCACCTGCCACAGAGACAACACGTAACTAAATTACCTACCAGACAAACTAATTGGAGTTACAGTTCAGATAACTATTTAATGGACAGAGCAAGTTAAGATCAGCCTCTGGGGTATTTTAAGAGAAGACTCCAGGAGCACTTTAGAATGCATCAGCTCTTATGGCAGAGAAGCACTGATGCATATTTACACAGGTTCCTTCCTTATGTCATCCCTTATAACAGAGACATTATTCACACTAATGCACAAGAGAATAAGCGCAGCTTTGTGATTCATTGTGCCTTTCCGGATGAAGTCAAAATCAGTGCATCAGGCATACTCTAAATTCCCTTATATAAAAGTCTGTGAAGTAGGGCTGTAGTTCATGTTGTAGTTCTTGTGTCAGGAAACCACATCTGGTCCAGAATGAATGAATCTATTTCACAGCCTTTACATATGGTATGTGACAATGATAGTGGATGCTGCAGTGCTGTCAGCAGTGCACTCCCTCACTCCCTCCCTCCATCCACTGGCCAGATTTATCCAGTTGTGAGGGAAGGAAGGTGATTTCTGGGAGAGGTGCTGTTGTCTTCCCCAGACAGCCTTCATTAGCTAATGGCCTTGTCCAGAACTAATCAATTCAGTCTCCCAGACATCCATCTTCCAACCTAGACAGTACGCTGTGTGACATTCTGTGCTCTCTTTTTTTCACTCCCTCCCTCCCTCCCACCCTCCTTCCTTCCCTCCCTCCCTGTTTCTCTGTTTTCTCCTCATTACATCTCTCCCACCCACTCAGAAACCCTGTTTTATTTCTGTCCGTCTTTTACCCTCAGCAGTGACATTGGAGATACTGTACGTACTCATGCATTTCCCTGTTCAACTGCCCAAGGGGCCTGTCATGACACAATGTGATTTACTACAGTCTCCTCAAAATAACTACCAACTAAATGATAACGTTTATTCAAATAAAAACAATTATCTGTGGAGTCGTATAGGACATTCAAATAAAATGGTTGTCAATCTAATAAGTTTCAAACTGCAAATTTGTTAAAGTCTGCTCCTTCATATTACTATAAGTTTATAAGTGGGTGGGGTTCTTCTCTCTCTCTCGATCTTTCTCTCTCACTCTTTCTCTCTCTCTCTCTCTCTCTGACAGCTGGGGTGGTGGACCAAGGCTCTATGGGGGGTCAGGGGTGTTACCCCCTGTGCCAGCTGAGACAGCTCCCAGACCTTACGCCCTCATCAAATATTCAACAGCATGAACACACAGGGATCCCTCCATCCCCTGGAGAGTACCCACGTCATGCAAATCATTTGAAGCATAATGACGACCCTACAGTACACTCACAACCGCATATTTAAGACTGGATGGAGGGAGGGAGAAGCACACCCCTTGACCTGGGGCAAAAATACCAAATGAAAGATCCAGAGTGAAGATACACCACGCACATCCAAACACACATGTGCTCTCACACTTTTCTTAATTTGCTCTCATATGGAGTGTAGAGATTTTACAGTGCCAAAGGCTCTTAGATAACTACTTCAAGCTCACTTTTATAGATGCCGCCACTGTGTGTTGTTTTGCCAGATGAAGCTGTAAACTGATCAATCTGAGAGATTTGACATATACTGATGAATTCCTCAAAGCCATCCTGGACCATTATGCCAAAACTCTCAAAGCCTGAGATATCTACACTCAGACTCAAATCCCAAAGCTCTCATATGGCTTATAATAACACACATTTTCCTTTAAAAAAACTTGCTACAATGTGGAAAAACGTCAATTTCTGCAGTAGTTCTGTTAATCTCTTTGCCTGGTACGGTCCTATGTGCTAAACATCTACCCCTGTGTAATGTTACAGTAAGTATTAAAATGTAAAACCCAGACAGAACTTGTATAGATGCAAAAACAGACGTTGGATAATACAGTAATTTTGGAAAGGGTATTTTACTGTGGATTTTCTGTGCTCCATCATTGCCCCTTGCAGATTACTTTTAAATCCCTGACAGTGTACTGCCCCCTTCCTGTAGGCCTGCTTAAACTCTGATCCTCAAATCCTAAAGCGTCATAAATTAATTAAATCATTAATTCACCCCTCTCTCCTTCATGATAATTCAGTTTCATGCTGGTTCACGCTTCTTCACTCTCCCCCACCTCTCCACTTACATCCAATATTCCATAATTCCTCACAATTTAGAGTATTAAACCCACCCACTCTGGCACAAGCAATTGTAAAGGAGGTGAGGGCAATTTCATGAGGCATAAATTCTCATTAACTGTACGGCACTGTAACACTTTAAATGAATAGGGGGTTTCTTTCGCCACCTCTATGTGCAGAACATCTCTCATTATAAGTATGTGAACATCCTGAAGGAGAAAGAACAGCAGAGGAAGGGAGAGGGACTCATGGTTCAATATTGAGCATGTATTGTATATTAATCAGACAGTTAGCTGAACCAGACTTGCATTAAATCATCTGTATCAATGGAGTTGGAACATTGTCAATTAGATCATAACACCCTACGTTCATTAAAATCCTGTGTGTCAATCGAATTAACATAATAAAACAATCTGTCAGTTTAAGCTAGAGATACAGTGCCTTCGGAAAGTATTCATACCCCTTTACTTTTTCCCCATTTTGTTACGTTACAGACTTATTCTAAAATTGATTTAATAAATTTTTCCCTCATCTATCTACACACAATACCCCATAATGACA